TATATTATATTAATTATATTATAAATATTATATATATATATTTTAAAAAATGTAAAAAATGTGTAAACTAGACAGGCATGGTGGCTCACACCTTTAATCCCAGCACTTGGAAGGCAGAGGCAGGCAGATCTTTGTGAGTTCAAGGCCAGCCTGGTCTACATAGTGGGTTCCAGGACATCTGGGCCTACAGAGAGACCCTGTCTCAAAAAGACAAAAAAAAAAGTGTAAACTCAGCCAGGTGTGGGGGTGGCCTCCTTCAAACCCAGCACTCCGGACACAGAAGCAGTGAGATCTGTGAGATCGAGGCCAGCCTGGTCTACATAGTGAGTTCTAGGCCAGCTGGGGCTTCAGAGAGACCCTGTCTCAGGAAAAAAAAAAAAAAAAAAAAAGAATATGAAAACTCAGGTTTCACCCCAACAGCTTGTTTTGATTCTTTCATTTTAAAGAACTGCATTTTCTGATGTTATATTGATATTATTCTTTTATCTCAGAATGCTTTTCCTAACCCAAACAGCTTTTCTCATTAGCTTAAGATTTAGTTAATAATCAGTTCTAAATGTCCCTGCATCAGACGCTCACTGTCCACACATCCATGCTCACAGAGCCCAGGCAGGTGGAGCACCGTCACTCACGGGGCTCTGGACCCGCACAGCAGCCTGCCTGCAGGGTGGCTCTTCCTTATTCTTCAGGAGTGTATTCTGACACCTCCGCCAGTGACTTACTTTTACAAACAGGTGACTTCCCTGTCCATTTCATATCTGCTTTACACGTTCTGTGTTCAGATCCACTGGCAAGGAAAAATCCTGGGTGGCAGGTATAGACTAAGGTATAGCCAAAGGCTGGAAGATCAATGGCTCTCACATCTGCATGGGCTGGGGTCTCCGGCTGTCGGCAGGCATGAGCTGAAAAGACATTTTCTCCGTTAAAAAGCACTGGACCTCTGTTCATTGTGAAACTGCTTCAAGTATTCACAGAAATTGATAGCGTAGAGCAAGAGTCTAGAAAGGGTTATGATGTTAGAGATTGCATGTGAGTCCTGCATAGAAGGACATGTGTGTACATCTAAACACATATACATGTCTGTAGTTATATATGGAAATTTATGGGAGTGATCCTAGCTTTGAAGTAAACAGAGCACTCGGTTACACAAGAGAGAGAAGTGAAATCCTTAGTGTGGAGCTGGAGAGATGGCTCAGTGTTTACGAGCAAAGAGTCTGCACAGATGTCTTCAATAAAGGACTTGGAAGATTATCATAGAAAAGATTGATTTTAAAGTTGTGAAATTATTTATTTCAATAAAGATTTTCAATCTTTATTACTGACTTACAAGCAAACTCCATTATACACACAAGTGAACACATACATATAAGCGTGTGTGTGTGTGTGTGTGTGTGTGTGTGCGCACATGTGCATGTGGATTTCTCCACAAGGTTGAGGAGCGAGGTGGGTATAATATCTTTGAAGTATACATCTGGTAATCCTGAAAAATAAATGCACAATAAATTCCACTTTACCTAGCAGTAAAATAATTCTTCATAGCATTCAGCTAATGTTTTTATGTTTCACGTGGTAAGGTGTTGTCTGAGATCAACAAGGTAAAATAAATGATTCAGTTGACATTCCTACAATGCTTTCTGAGGCTCATGATTAAATCATAAAGTAAAATTTACTCCATCCGTCACTTTTCAGAAGATCCGTTATTATGTACTTCGAGTCTATAGTGAGAGTCCGATGCTGGGCCTTGATACCGAGTCTCTGACTCATTCTGTGAAGCAGTAAGCTGAGCACAGACACATGGCAGGGGATTGTATGTTCAGGTGTCTTCTGCCCAGCTTTGAAGTCACTCCTTGTCCAGGGTTCCCAGTGTTGGCCTCCTCCCTCCTCCCAAGAGTTCCTGAGGTAGCAAATCTCGGGGCTGAAGTGAAGAACTGGGATAACCACCAAGCCTTCAGCTTTACTAGACTGGTCTAGGACCCTTAGGAGCGTTTTGAGAAATGAGCAAAGTTGAGGATTAGGGAACGAAAAATGAATGCATAAACAGAATAAGCAAAACTAAAGCACCACCACCGTTACCCTGGAAGATGAGCTTCTGGCCGACACTCAGCCATGTTAGCTGTGGCTGTGGAGGAAGAATCCATACTTACGTATGCACTCTGTCTGTATACCACTCCATGTGAGGTTTGCAAGGCAGGTCCTTGTGGTGGAGCCTTGGATGTGGTAGCCCTTCCTACACCTGAAGAACACCATACTTCCGACCTGGAGAGAAGAACAACAGGGTTGCAGAGGCCGGACAGCACCAAAGGACCAGGGGAAATGTACCAGTGATCCTTGCTACCAAGCCCTGGTGGGTATCAGCACACCGCTTCATGGCACACTACCACACTCAAAACAGATTGCCCACAACTACAGGGGACTGGGCAGAGGGTGGCTCAGAGAAGACGGAAGAGGATTAGGTTGTGAAAATCTACAAGACTGATTATTTGGGTAAAGACAGAATACTTTAAATGGTGGCAATGCCTCTAAGTTAGCAGGCAGGAGGATTGCAAGCTCAAGGTCAGCCTGGACTACACAGTGAGTTCCGGGTCAACTTGAGCTATAGGGTGAGACCTTGTCTCAGAAAACAGACAAGTGTAGTTTTCTGCCCATAAATTCAGAAGTCTCCCCTTTCAGTTTATGACCATTGCTTTGTTTTCTGTCGTGGCCACAGACAATTGAGGCCATCGCTCTGTACCACAGAAGTGCTTTTGTTAAGTCTCTGGAACCGGCCACCAGCTGTGCTCTCCCAGAATCCATCCGAACGCAATCTGTCAGTGTTCACAAACCAGGTCCCATATCTGAACTCCCGCCCGAGGTGCTTCCCAGAGGAGACATCGCCAGGCTGCCTCCCATGTCCCTCACCGACTGTGCTTGTGCCTCCCCTCTGTTCCCGCCTTGTTGGGCCAGCCTCACCGGAGCTGGTCACTGGCCACTCACCACTTGCTGATGCCATCCCATTTGTTCACCTGCCTCCTAACCTAGTCTTGGGAGCTCCAGGCAAAAGTATATTTTTTAAAAGAATGATCTGGAGTCTGGAGAGATGGCACAGCAGTTAAGAGCAATAATTGCTCTTGCAGAGGACCCAGGTTCAAGGCCCAGCACCCACATGGTGGCTAATAACTGTCTGTAACTCCAGTTCCAGGGGAATCCAACACCTTTTTCTGACCTCTGTGGGCATTGCATGACACAGGTACACTTACATACATGTAGGTAACACACTCATGCACATTAATTAAAAAATAATAGGCTATTTTAAAAAAGAATGATCTATGGTCATGTGCAGGGTACACCCAAGCTAAGGTGTGATGAGGTATGATTGCCGCACCTGGAGTATAAGACCAGGCCAGGTGAGACATGGGGAAGAGGTAGCTGCCTTGCTGTGGGGCCACTCTGGGGGTGTTGTGGAGCAGCTGTGGGGCAGCTGTGAGGATGCCGTGGGGCCGTTTGCTGTGGGGCCACTCTGGGGGTGTTGTGGAGCAGCTGTGGGGCAGCTGTGGGGATGCCGTGGGGCAGCTGTGGGGATGCTGTGGGGCAGCTGTGGGGATGCCATGGGGATGGTGTGGGGATGCTGTGGTGTCTACAGAAATCCTTTTGAATCCAAGAGTCCAAGGCATTTGGAGCCACATCTTCATGTGGCTCCGAGGATTTAAAAGGGATGGTGTGGGGATGCTGTGGTGTCTACAGAAATCCTTTTGAATCCAAGGGTCCAAGGCATTTGGAACCACATCTTCATGTGGCTCCGAGGATTTAAACTGTTCTGTCTTCTCAGAAGTATGGGCATGTCCCATCTCATTGGGATTTTGGAAACAAGTGTAGGTAGAAGTGTGAGGGCCCAGCTGGCATTCTGAGTGAAAGATGTGATGAGGATGTGCTCGAGCACCTGATAACACTTGACAGCTTGGAAGCAGGGTTTCATAAACCAAGACAAGCAAGCTGAGCTAAACTCAGCTGAACTAATGGACATCCAGTGAGGAGCAACAGGCGTGCTCAGCAGGGCTGGTGCCTATCAGATATGAATGACGTCACAGACTTCCTGGTGACATAAGGACAGAATCTACTCGCAGGGAGCAGAGGAAGAGCCCTGCAGAAGAAACTATAGCACACCGGTCTGTGAAGCGGTTTCTCTGCATGGGCCCAGCCACCAGATGTGGACCAGTGTGCCTAATCTACTCGCAGGGAGCAGAGGAAGAGCCCTGCAGAAGAAACTATAGCACACTGGTCCGTGGAGCGGTTTCTCTGCATGGGCCCAGCCACCAGACGTGGCTGAACAGACCATGGCTGGCTAGACAATCAAAGCTAGTCTCCTAAGTTATACCACATAATACAAGTAAGTGAAAGGAGCTAGAACTGAAGAGGATCCTTCTTGGGGGTGATGTTTCATCTAGAGAACATAAACATCTCATTCAAAGCCAGACTGTGTTCTAACGGAGAAAGGAAACCCTGGGGGTGTGCATCTCCTGTGCACAGCCTTATCTCTAGAAGATAGCGTCTGTGCCTCTCAGTGCCAGCCAGCCTTGATGCTCAGAGTCCGGCATTATTCACTCTATTTCACACTGACGTGACTGATACTATACTGTCAGGTATGAGCATTTCAGGAATGTGTTCTCCTTCATCTCCATGATGATGGGTTGTGCGTAAGCAAGGCAAGGACTTGTGACAGCTGTGATGACCAGTGGTGATCAGGCCTTCATTTTCATGATGAGCCAATAACAACAGCATTCATGTATTTTCCGGATTACAGAAGTTTGGTACTAAACAAATACCTATCAGAAGGTATTTACCCCAAGCCTGAGGCCATGTCTGGGTCATAATACACAATGCACTAAGTTTAACCTGCCCACTATAGGGGGATCTATTTTTGTGGGATTCCAGAGAGATGTTACAAAATAACAAGGTGAGCTAGACAGAGCCAGCAAAGTTGAAACACTATAGTGTTCTTGAGAGAGGGGACAGAGTGGCTGAGGATAAAGGCTTTTATTTTAAATTGGTGGGATCCTTGAAAGAAGTAAACAGGTCTAATTTTGTTTCCCCCTCCAGGACTTGCCATCTCAAGAGTCACTATCTTCCATCTGAAGCATTTATCCACTAACTGTGGTGGTAAAGCTCATTTTCTTAAGTGAAAGGAACATTCCATGGTGGTATTCACAGCTAAGAACTCAAGAAACTTTCCGAGAACTTGCTGGCAGGGCTGGAATACATCTCTGTTTTTGCTTTTTCTTTAGAATTTTCTATCATTTGGCCACTATATCTAGTTTTATTTTAGTAATTTTTTGATAATTTCCTTTCTTTTGATCATCTCCACACCCAGCTCCTCCCCTAATTCATTTCAGAGCCACCCCATCTTCATACCCCCAACTTTGTGTCCTTTTTTTATATAACTCAAGTCCAATTTGTGCTGTCCATAGATTTCTGGGAGTGGGGCCTTCTACTAGAACATGCTTGCCCCACTAAGAACCGCACCCTTAAAGAAAACTTACTTGCTCTCTCTCAGAAGCCATCAAGTGTCTGTAGCTCCTCAGCTAGGGGTGGAGGTTCCCACTTGAAATGGAATTTTTTATGTGTAGCTAGTCAGCATCAAATAACTCAGATGTGATAACTATCCTTTGATTTCATCAAACCCGAAGTACGGAATCATGTGTGGTTCCCAATAGAAACTAATTTCGCCACGGACACAGTTCTAACAGAGAGGCATTCTGGGCTCCTTGCCCTTGCTAGAAGTCCTGGTTGAGTGAATATTCTTTGACCAAATGTATGAATAAGCTAAGACATTAACAATGTACACATATGCTTAAGTATCAGCTAGATTTTTACAGTAACACAGAAAATAAAGATGAAATACCTCATAGCCTCTGGAGCTGTTCTGTATTCCAAAGTGGGGTGTGCCTGGGTCAGGGCAGGCATTGTGTGCTGGATCTGTAATTCACAATTTAAAAATAATTGTAACATTTTTATTGAAAGACCATGCAACATTAAGGAAAGGTCTTCACAAATGTATAATGTGTTACATGAAAGTTCAAGCAAGTGGCGCCTGTCTCTTCTGAGACCGCTCTGAGGCTTTGTCGAAGTTTACATCACACTGTGTATTCTCACCGAGTTAAGAACAGGCACTTTTCCCTCTAAGGATGAATCCTGGTTCCTGAATGCTACACTGGCCTCAGTGCTTTCTACTTAGATCTTTGGGTTATAAGAAATTAATTAACGCACCAGTTCTTCCCTCGTAATATTATTTCCTATGTTTTTTGGATAAATTTTCTTTAAGGTTTCAAAGTGGGAAATATATGTAATGCTCCCAGGGGAAGTTTCTGGAAGTCTGGTAATCCCTCAGAGGTATTTTCCAAATCCTTAAGATGCAAACAGAGATTGGACAGCTACACTGTTGCTGGGTCCCAGCTGCTTATACAGAGCAACATAGATGATGTTTAATGTTCTTTTCCTAGAGCAAACCATTCCGTGTGGGGAAAGGAAAATGCCCACCATCAGTGCTCCCTAAAATCAAATAACAGAAGGTGTTCCTATAGTTAGAAAACTGTTTCGGTGAAATTACTTCTAGTGATGTCTACTTTTAGGTGGATAGCATCGGATTCTTTAGAAAATTGCTGAGGCTCAAATCATTCATTGCTTTGGTGTAAATTTGCAACAACAACAAAAAAAAATTAAGAAAGGTGGGTGGTCCAGATCAAGCCGCTATAAGAACAGCCACTGTGCCTTGGGGACTGGTGCCTGAGGGGCCGTAACAAGTGTATTTTCCAGGGTCCCCCTTCATGTGAGGGACATCACTGTTGGCTGAGCTAACTGCAGATGGAGATGTTCAGGTGGGAAAGCGTCCCTCAGCCACATCACCAGGCTTCTGACTTGGCTTACAGGGTGTGATGGAGGCTGCACATCACTTCACTTTAGCATCGATGCATCTTACAATATCATCGTGGCTCATTCTGAGTAAGTCCGCACACAGGACGCTATCTACCACACAGCCACAAATTAGTCACTTGCTAGTGATGAGTGGTTATTCCAAAACTTCCCCATCACCCTTGGGACTGTGCAGGGAGCATCACCTATGCAGGTGGGCTGGATGCCACTCCATGTGCCGTCCATCTGGCAGGTTCTTCTGGAGGACCCAACTAGTACAAACGGGGGTTTGCACTGGAAGAAGACTTCAGACTTATAGGTGAAGCTTTTCCCACTGAGTCTTCCCTCAGCAGGAGTGCCAGGATCACCGCAGAACACAGCTGTGGAAAACAGCCGAGGACCAAGTCAGCCCTAAGTACCCCTGGATCAGCCTAGCCTGTTAAATGTGTTCTGTTTTTGTTGGCTCTTCAAATTTAGCCATTTCATCAACAAACCCTAAGAGGAAGGCACCTCTGGCCACACACACTCAACTTTGAGATCATTTGGCCACAGTTAAACCTCATCAGTTTCCTGGAAGACCCCCCTGGGGTGTCAGGGACTGCTGGTTTCTGTTCACAGGGCACTGTCAGACTTACGCAGACACTGTGGGACCTCTCCTTTCCACACCCCACGGCCTTCGCAGGACAGGATGGCTGAGTGCGACAGCTGGTAGCCGTCCACACAGCTGTAGCTTATGCTGGAGCCCCAGCGGAAGTCTGATCCCTCCACCTTCCCGTTTGACACCGGAGGAGGCTGATTGCACAGGACAGCTGTTGCCAAGAACAAGTAGGTCAAAATCCTCAGCTCCCACCAAGGTTGTAACCATCACATCTGCCACAGTTCCCACCACCACGGCCCCAACACAGCAACCAGCATACTCCCGCCAAGGGTCCAACCATTGCTTGGGCGAAGGTGGCTCCTTGCCATGCCCCCACCACTGAGTCTCCTGCCGTGGGGCTTTCCCTGAATTACAAGTGCTTTTTTAAGAGAAATAATTACTGACAGTGATAACAAAGCAGCACTTTTCCCCAGAATTTCTTCTGTAGCTAAGATCAAATATGCAAAATTATCAAGTCAAAACACAACACACACTGCTCAGTGAAATAGAACTGAATCCTCTGTTGTGCTGGACATAATACCCTAGGAAGGAAAATGCCTAATTATGTCTTTTTATGCCTGATATGAAGGATAAATTAAATGAGGGCTTGGTCACGTGGTATCAATAATACTTCAAATTATGCAACAGATGGTAAGAATTTCTCCTGCCATCTGTAATTTTTATTTATGTAAATATAGCATACAGTTCCCAAAAGATGAATAATTTTTAAAAAGAAAATGACTGAACTGTTAAGTACAATTCTGTAAAATGCCACTTGCTGGTGTTTTGTTACAGTTTTGGGACTTGATGCCCAATCTCAGGGACCCCAGAACAAGAATACAGAACTTTCTAGGGACACATTTGTGGCGATGGCTGCACAAGTCTCTTGTCAATAATAAGAGATTATTCTAAGATGAGAAAAATCCAAAAGCAATGTGCAAAAATCAACTCGCAGATGAGCCGCTCCAGACTCTGAAATCAGTGGTGTTTGGGTGGCCAAAGGCGTCCAGGGACATGCCATCTAATGAGGAAGCAAACACACATCACAGGGCACACGGCAGTCACCAAGCATACACTGCAGGTGGAAGTGGGCCCTGCCTCCACACTTAACACTCTGCGTACATGACCATTTACTCAGCAAATATTTCTTAAGAACCTTCCAGAACTGGGTGGGAGAATGTGTTCTCTGCAGGGGACCATGCAGGGAAGGCTCCAGTCAGGGATGGGATGAACACTGTGGATGATCACAGGACAACAGGTGCATGCTGAGGAGAAGGTCTGGGAGGGAGGGGGTGGGCGAGGAGCGGCTGCTTGGGGAGGATCCTGTGGCTTGGTGCTGACAGTATGATGGGTGAGGGATCCTGTGGAGAAGTGCCCGCAGTGACCCAGCAGCTCTCCCTGTGAGCACTTGACCTGCACCTTGTAGCACAGGTGGTGAGTGCATCTATTTGTTGCCTGTTACACAGAAGACCTGGTTCTAAGCCGCCAGTGGCATAACTGACATAGGACAGAGACACTCAGGAGCCGCAGGAAGAGAAAGGGAGCGCCAGCAGTCCTGTCAGGAGGAGGAGGAAGTGGGAGGGTGGGCATCGTGCACTCACAGAAGCCTCGGGACAAATTCATAAACCCAGGAGTCTCGGGACAGAGCCCTGCCCTGGTGCTTCCCAGTGTCCCAGGCCCTGAGGATGGTGCCCTTCACTAGGGCTTCCCAGTGTCCCAGGTCCTGAGGATGGAGCCCTGCCCTAGTGCTTCCCAGTGTCCCAGGCCCTGAGGATGGAGCCCTGCCCTAGTGCTTCCCAGTGTCCCAGGCCCTGAGGATGGAGCCCTGCTCTAGTGCTTCCCAGTGTCCCAGGCCCTGAGGATGGAGCCCTGCCCTAGTGCTTCCCAGTGTCCCAGGCCCTGAGGATGGAGCCCTGCCCTAGTGCTTCCCAGTGTCCCAGGCCCTGAGGATGGAGCCCTGCTCTAGTGCTTCCCAGTGTCCCAGGCGCTGAGGATGGAGCCCTGCCCTAGTGCTTCCCAGTGTGCCAGGCCCTGAGGATGGAGCCCTGCCCTAGTGCTCCCAGTGTCCCAGGCCCTGAGGATGGAGCCCTGCTCTAGTGCTTCCCAGTGTCCCAGGCGCTGAGGATGGAGCCCTGCCCTAGTGCTTCCCAGTGTGCCAGGCCCTGAGGATGGAGCCCTGCCCTAGTGCTCCCAGTGTCCCAGGCCCTGAGGATGGAGCCCTGCTCTAGTGCTTCCCAGTGTCCCAGGCGCTGAGGATGGAGCCCTGCCCTAGTGCTTCCCAGTGTGCCAGGCCCTGAGGATGGAGCCCTGCCCTAGTGCTCCCAGTGTCCCAGGCCCTGAGGATGGAGCCCTGCTCTAGTGCTTCCCAGTGTCCCAGGCGCTGAGGATGGAGCCCTGCCCTAGTGCTTCCCAGTGTGCCAGGCCCTGAGGATGGAGCCCTGCCCTAGTGCTCCCAGTGTCCCAGGCCCTGAGGATGGAGCCCTGCTCTAGTGCTTCCCAGTGTCCCAGGCGCTGAGGATGGAGCCCTGCCCTAGTGCTTCCCAGTGTGCCAGGCCCTGAGGATGGAGCCCTGCCCTAGTGCTCCCAGTGTCCCAGGCCCTGAGGATGGAGCCCTGCTCTAGTGCTTCCCAGTGTCCCAGGCGCTGAGGATGGAGCCCTGCCCTAGTGCTTCCCAGTGTGCCAGGCCCTGAGGATGGAGCCCTGCCCTAGTGCTCCCAGTGTCCCAGGCCCTGAGGATGGAGCCCTGCTCTAGTGCTTCCCAGTGTCCCAGGCGCTGAGGATGGAGCCCTGCCCTAGTGCTTCCCAGTGTGCCAGGCCCTGAGGATGGAGCCCTGCCCTAGTGCTCCCAGTGTCCCAGGCCCTGAGGATGGAGCCCTGCTCTAGTGCTTCCCAGTGTCCCAGGCGCTGAGGATGGAGCCCTGCCCTAGTGCTTCCCAGTGTGCCAGGCCCTGAGGATGGAGCCCTGCCCTAGTGCTTCCCAGTGTCCCAGGCCCTGAGGATGGAGCCCTGCTCTAGTGCTTCCCAGTGTCCCAGGCCCTGAGGATGGAGCCCTGCCCTAGTGCTTCCCAGTGTCCCAGGCCCTGAGGATGGTGCCCTTAACTAGGGCTTCCCAGTGCCCCAGGCCCTGAGGACGGTGCCCTGTCCTGGTGCTTCCCAGTGCCCCAGGCCCTGAGGATGGAGCCCTGCCCTAGTGCTTCCCAGTGTCCCAGGCCCTGAGGATGGAGCCCTGCCCTAGTGCTTCCCAGTGTCCCAGGCCCTGAGGATGGTGCCCTTCACTAGGGCTTCCCAGTGTCCCAGGCCCTGAGGATGGGCCCTGCCAGGTCACTGCACCAGCCTCTCCTTCCCCTTTGTCCCACTCCAGGCTCCAAATAGAAGAGCCTATGGTCCCCTTCTGATTAGGAATCTGACCCTGCACATCCTGGATCTCACAGGATCCTGGCCAGCTGGGATTCCCTATGACTCCTCCAAGGCACCCCACTGCATGTGACCTGAGCTTGCTATTCCCTGGTGTAAGCCACAAGCCTTCCTGTCCCTTCTCTCTGTGTTCTATCCTCCCTCTCTTCATGTGACCTACAGAACGTTCCAGCACTGATCCTCTACTTGTGTTTTCATTGGCAGATGACCAGCTAATGTCCCATCTGCTTCTTCAACCAGGAAACTGAATTCCATCATGTCTCCCATGTACGTACCACAGCCGTCAGTAGCCATTAGCCTGAGTTCCTAAAGCTGTTTATCCAAACACACCTTTTAACACTGGGCATAGTGGGACACACTTTTAATCCCTGTACTTGAGGCAGAGGCAGAGGCAGAGGCAGAAGCAGAGGCAGAGGCAGGCAGATCTCTCTGAGATCCAGGCCAGCCTGGTCTACTTAGTAAGTTCTTGGTGGGCTGGGGCTGGGGACACTTTGTCAAACAAACAAACAAACAAAAATAAACACAATGTCTAGAGGTAGGATGGGTCACCTGGACCCAACATTTCTACTCTTGACTTCTATCCCGGAGCCATTCACTATGACCTTCTGTGACTCAGTTTCCCCATCTATAAGACTGACATCAGTGTATCCATATAATAAAGTGGTTGCTTATTTACAAAATGGTTAGGAAGAACTGGAGATAAAGCCCCTGCAATGGCTTTGCAATACTTGAAAAACAGAACACAGCATCATCTGTAGACTTCGCTACCTGTCGGCAACAGCAAACAAAGGTAGGGGCACCCACCTTTGCAGACCGGCCTGCTCTGGTTCCACGTGCCATCTTTGGTGCAGCGGATGGTGGGTGACGCCAAGGACTCCATCAGGAAGCCAGGGTTGCACTGATAGCTCACTGTCTTGTTGAAGGTGAAATCTGTCCCAAACTGGATGCCGTTGGGCGGTGTGCCGGGATCCCCACAACTTATGACTGGAAGGCAGGTAGCAGAAGAGAACCAGAGAGAGGCAAAGTCAGGGTGACAGGGCTTAGTCATGTGCCTGCCGCAGCTGCTCTCCGTGACTCAGCAATTAGTTCTAAAAGAACCCCCGGCCCAGTGTGCAGATCTGCCAGACAACGTGTGTGTGAAATTGCTTATTGCTACTCTACTGACAGGCAGCTACATGACTGCCACCCTGGTTAGGCCTGGCATGTGATTACACTGACCAAGGCCATATGCTCACAGCCATGGTCAGAGACCTGAATACCTTAATTTTTTTGAACTAGATGGTCTGGAGCCAAAGAAGGGTGGCCTTTTTTATAAGTCCCTCTTATAGTACACATCTGACCATTTAGAACAGCTTCAACCTATGTACTAAAGAAGGGAAGGATGACCTTAAATCCCTAACAGGACATCACATCAAATTGAAGATTTTCTTTTTCCTAGATGAACTGAAAAACTCAATAGACTTTGAAATCCCACTGCTTGCCTCCCCGACAGGCTCCACCTGGCAGGTACTAACTGGTGCAGTCGGGCGCTGTGCCTGTCCAGGTCCCATTGGCTGTACAATGCCGTGTGGTGAGCCCTGAGGTCTTGTAGCCTTCCCAACAGGCGTAGATGACGGAGCTGGAGAAGAGGATGCCGTCGCTGCTGAGGATCATCCCATTGGTGGGGGTGCCAGGGTTCCCACAGGACACGGCTGTCAGGAAACACAAATAGCAGCCCTCAAGAGGTGAGGCTGGACTGAGGTGTCAGATACCCCTGGTCATCGAGGACAAGCGCGAAGGACCACGGACGCCTGACCGAACTCTGGGAACACCTCTGTGGACTGTCTTCTGCTTTGATCTTGTCTGACCCATAGATTCACTTAATCTATTAGCTACAGAAGTAAAAACTGCATTTCCACAACAACTTTTCTGAATGCTAAGACTTCTTAAGGTATTAAAACATGAGTTAAAACATTAAAAATTCAAAGCTTTGCTATGAGATGGAACACATTTTTATGCAAAATAGAACTATTATGAACTTTTACAAAGTATTTATATGACATTAGAGTTCAAAAGCATCTTCTTTCATACATCCTTTGTTTAAAATCTTGGAAAATCAGGTCATATGTTATAAAAACAGGAGAATACACTTGGGAAACAGAACATATGTCAGGAATACAAATGACTGCACACATTGTCAAATGGCCACCACATTATAAAATCTAAATACAGCTGTGTAATTGGCTGGAAGATGACAGCACTTTGCATTTCTCTCAGAAGTAGCTTAATGTCTCTTAGGGACACTGGCCCTCAGTTAATGATGCCCAGGGCACCAGGGCATCTAACTCTCTATGCAGAAGTGGCCCCTGCTGCTGTGACAGTTCAAGGTGATGGCATCAGCCTCTGACGTTTTGCCTTTTCAGTTTTAGTTGAGTCCAGAATAATTACTGTCACATGATGTATAATAGAGCGGCTCTCCTTCATGAGACACTTACTGGATATTAAGAGCCATCATGAGATTTTCTGAGATTTTCAGCATGTTTAGAAACACTCTTGAATATTTAGTACTGCTTTCAAAACTAGTCTTGAAAACAAGGATGCATTTCTCTTAAAGATACAGAAGAAAACTCTCAATTCTAACTTTATTTGAATTAGGCATGTAAGCCCAAGCTGAGGTGGTGCTTGTTTGCAAAACAAATAGAGCGCACACACACATAAGGGCTGTGCCTGTGCTCAGGGCAGGCATAACCAACCAATCCTCTGCCCACATTATGTGGTTCGGATTTGCAGTCCTTTCTAACACAGACCATTCAGCAGTAGCTGGATTGGCATTTATAGTAAACAATATTTACAGAACCAGAAGCAACTGACAACCAGGTTTCTCTATGATATCAATTAAAATATCATATTGAAAAGATGAAAACAGTGAACTGTTCAAAACAATTATTCATTCAATAAACACTTATTCAACACTGAGAATGCAATAGTATTGTTATATGTGTTGACGAAAAGTTGAACATAGAGTTTATCAAAATTACATGAAAAAACCCCAAAGTCTCCCAGTTCAACGACACGGTTTAGTCAGACACCTTCATGAAAGGATGCGGTGGAAGCGTTCATCAATGAACCTATAGTTGAAAGGCAGGTTTCTAACCAAAGCTAACATCTAACAGAAATGGTTCGTCACGTAATACCTAAATGCCACAACTATATAGATTATTTGCTCTTTAAGAGTGTTTTAGACACTTTTATTTTATGACTCATGGATTTGTTTTGTAACTTATTTTTGTTTCTCATTGGGATAGAAGGTTTTTTAAAATATTTTATTTATTATTTTTATTTTATGTGTATGAGTGTACTACCTGCATGTAGGTAAGTGCACCCATGTCGTATAATGCCTGCGGTGGACAGAAGAGGCTGTCAGATCCCCTGGGACTGGAGTTACGGACAGTTGTTAGCTGCCATGTGGGCGCTGGGATTCGAACCCGGGTCTTCTGCAAGAACATTTAGTATTCTTAACTGCTGATCCATCTCTCTAGCCCTGGGATGGAAGGTTTTTAATAGATGAAGAGGAGATGATTATGTCAGGTTAGAAAAAAATCTTGGTCAGGCAGCTGATGTCACAACCCTGGCCTGGAACTCTGAGATTCTGTCTCTGGTGATGAAATTTGCAAGAGCACATTCAAGCGGACCAAATTATATAGAAAACGTTTCGATACAAACTAAAATACACCATCTTAGACTTAAAACTTGAGAAGGTGGCTTGCATGATGTGTATCTAAAGTTTAAAGGCATATTGCCCAAACTCTAATTTGATATTCTGAACTTTAAGTTCATTGCTATCAACCACATACATCTCTGTTCACCTTTGATTAAGTCAGGCCTCGTTGACACCTGATGCAATACTATTAATGACTGATAAGTGTGTTCCCTAGTTGACAGCTAAAGTCTTCACACCTACGATTGTAATGCAATCAGAGTCACTCATTTCAAAATGCCACAAACATAAACATTGCTTTGTATAGAGTGCTCTGCAGGAGGCTGCCTGAAGATAGGCAGAGCTACAGGAACAGGAATATTCCCAGCTCACAGAAATCCTCATCTGGGATTGCACTGCTCCTAGTCACTGTCCCTCAGCCTCCACAGCTCACCTCTAGGACCCATACAAAAAGGCATGGGAATCACAGGCTAGCAACAGATTAGAAACCTGCTTTCCTGTGAAAGATGTTCAAAGGATGAGGACCGCTATGGGTGGTCTTTGAACAACATTGCTAGTACTCATAATTTTTTATGATGCTATTGTACCTTTGGGGAAAGGGTTCACCTATACAAGTGACAGAAGTTTCTAGGGTCCCAAAGGTTCCCTCAGGCTGGTCCCAGACACTTTAGAATAAGCAGGTAGTTTTAAGCCTTAGGTGGACTGCCAGGCTTGGTTCACTCACCCTCACACACCGGCTGCACTCCTGACCAGGATCCATTTGTCAGGCAAGTCCGCTCTGCAGAGCCCCGCAGCTGGTGGCCCATTTCACAAGAGAAACGCAAAAGACTCTTTGTCTTAAATTCATCCCCAAGCCGAGACCCATGTGCTGGTGTCCCTGGATCACCACAAAATCCAGGACTATTTCCTATGGAGCACAAGCACAGGAATGCATGATTTTAAAAAAAATTGTTTTTTTTTTTTTTTTTTTTTTTTTTAACATCTTCAAAGGTTATTCAATGAAAAGTCACTCTAAATACATATTTAACATGGCTTGTGTTTATATAACATTGTAGCATTTTGGAAAGAGAAATTTTCTATTTCATAGTCCCTAATAGGGGAGAAACTTAAGACACTGTTGCTGTGTCATTCAAATAAAAATAGCCTCATAAAATATAATTAATAAGAAGACGTGATTCTTTTGGGAGGATTGAAATGCTGTGACTCCTGAACAGTTTCTGGAATGTGAGTGTAGGCAGCCAGAGGGGAAGTGGGTCATGGTGGCTACAGAGGAAAGTCAGGGAGGGGTTCCTTTCTTTACAGTTGTGTCCAAAGTTGCTCCTGGAATTAAGTTTTAAAGATGATCCATAGAATTAAAATGACAAAAATGATCAAGGTGCTCACTGATGTTAGAAATGATGGAAATGTTGATGAATTGAGAGGACACATAGAGAGGGATAAATGGCAGAGGAGGAAAGTAAGCCGACGTAAGAAGAATCTCGGCAAGGGCGATCAGAAAGCCTAGAGAGAAATACAAAGTGATGGGCCCCGTGACAATGATACAGATGAGGATGCTGGTTCAGGTACCAGAGACAATGATGTAGATGATGCTGGTTCAGGTGAAGGGGACCAGGGATGATGATCAAGACGATGATATCTGTGATGGAGCTCAGAGAGGGTGGAGAAGATGATATTGATGCTGGTGACGAGATGATGATTTGCTTGATGAGGAGCAGTGATAACGGTGATGATGATGATGGAGATGATGCTGATCTACGTGAAGGGCATTAATGATTGGGGTGAAGATGATGGTGAAGTTGTCACTGACCTGTGTGATGGGACTCTGAGATGATGGTGAAGATGACTGGTGGTGGTGGTGAGGATTTATGGCTAGAAGCTAGTGATAAACATGAAGGTGATGATTGCAGGAATGACTTTAACCATATAATCTGGACTAAAGACTTTTTGCTAACCTTGCAACCAAAAGGTTACTTCTTATACTATGAACAAGCTCACAGAGCTATATGTCACTCTTGTGACTATGGCATATGACCTTAATCCCTTGGGACCCCTCCTTACACTCCACCGAAGATAGTGTAAGATAGTGTGTAAATGTGGTTGCATTATTTACAAGTCTAAATGCTGAAAGCAGGGTGTTTTTTTTTTTTCTCATTGCAAGCATTAAGAAAAATCGAGAAGTCTATTCTTAATTGTGTGTATGCTATTCTAGGCCTAGGGATCAAAGGGCAAGATTTTCTGATAAGATAAGGGTATGTCTAGCACCTACTTCCCTTTTTCCTTTCTGTGCTGGAGGTGCTGTTGCAAAGAAAAAGAAGGAGTTAAGCCCTGGCTAAGAGCATGGTTCTAAGAGACAGCTGAAGAAACAGGCTCTTTGCTTTGGCCTTAAAATTGAGTCAAGCTGGTTCATGATTCGGGTGTAAGTATAATGTGGCTTAGCAACACTGCAGGTGATGAAAATGAGCGTGATCTATGTGATGGGGCTCAGAGATAATGCTGACTATGAGGTGAAATGATAGTGGTCTGTGTGATAGGGACCAGTGACTGCAGTTAGGATGATGCTGATTTATGTGATAGGGATAATGGTGATCTATCTGATATGAATCTAAAGTAAAAGTGGCCCATATGGGCCCAGTGATGATGTTGAAGATGGTGATGGGATGATGCCCACCTACAGGACAAGGGCCACTGGTGACGATGACAGTGGTAGTCCCCATATGGTGACCTACGATGCTGCTGAAGATATTGGACGTCATAACAGGGGTTCATTTGGTATAATCACAGACATCTGTGCAATTGCACAATCAATATTCTGAGTGGTGGCCTGAGCACAGAGCTCCTCACCTGAGCAGTGCGGAAGGGCTCCGCTCCAGTGACTGTCTTCTTGGCAGACTCTGGTGCTGTTGCCCATGAGGCTCTGGCTCCCTTTGCAGGAGTAATGAACTGTGGCGCCATATGTAAACAGGTCTCCAGTTAGGACAGCATTTGCAGGGACACCAGGGTGGCCACATGATATGGCTGAAGAAAAGGTTAGAAAAATTGAGAACACAGTGCTTTGCAGTAAGACTCCCACGTAGACATCCCTCCAACTCTCAGCTTTAAGGAACTTCTATAGATAAGAAATAACTGCAGAGAGAAAATTCCCATGATGTTTATTTACTGAAGAAAGGAAAGTAAGTAGTAATGGAATTGTTTGTCTTAAGATAATTTTGCTTACGGTTGGACATAACAAGTCAGCCTTCCATGGGCAAAGAAGCCCAGCGTTATCTGTCTGCTTCTAACTGCACCCATGTGAGCAGGGTGGTAAGAAATGCAAACAGGACTGGACAGTGATTTGCTGGACATCCTCACTGAGATAATACTATTATTGTTCTTAGCAACTACTTTTTATTTTATAAAAGTTTTCTGATTTCCTAATAAAACTTCAAATAAAAAGAGAAATTCAAAAACCAGTATGAATCCATTAAAACTATTTTCAATACTTCAGTTAATATGACAATCATATGCTTTGCTTAGAGGCAAAATTATGTTAAACCAGCTTAATTTTCAAGTTCATTTGTCTAGGAAAGCCATTGTAATGATTATCTTTTAATAGGTGATGATCTGACATGGGTAAGTAAAAATAACAATAAATTATTGGAACATTTTCTTCAAAATAGTCCAAAACCATCTCAGCATTTTAGTCATAGCCTTAAAATTATTCCAAATCAAGTTCATAATCTATCCAAAAACATCCTTCACAAAGGCAGACCCCAGGTCCAGATGAATATGGAACACTGAAGACATCCAGCTCTACTTTTCCCATGAATTACCAACTTGAATTAGCAATGGACACATTTTTATGTGACATGCAAATGACTAGCTTGATGGAAGAGGCAGAGGACTTATTCAATGTCCCCAACAAACCCAATTTGGTCACTTAGCAACTGAGAAGTGATGCAGTCCAGAGAAAAGGTTCTGCAACTGGGAGGCAGAACCCCCCCCCCTTGGGTCCCATTGGCCCTTATTCTGTGTCTTGCATTAGCATTTATTCAGTGGACACCCATGTTTTATCTAAAGTCCTAAAAAGAAGCCAATTAGACCCAGAACACTGAAGTGCTTGGTAAATGACCAATTCTCGATAAAATAAAAGATAGAAAGGAAGACAATCCAAGAAACAATAAACAGCAGAATAGATTCAGGGCTGAGCCCCTGGAGCATGTAAAGTTGAGTGTCCCTCTGAGATGCTCCTTCCCACATCGATGTTAATGACAAGAAATGGAGTGATTGGGGTGGGGACAAGCCAGTTTGGGAAAGCAGAGTCAGTCAAACCCAGCGTTTGCGGATCTAAGCACATTACCACCAGTTCAATGCCTGATAGGAGTCTCTCCGGAGCCAGGAGAGATGCAAAAGAAATGTTTGGGGAGAGGAAGAAACAAAGCAACTCAGCTCCTTGGGAAATCCCCCAGTGCGAAGGCACAGAAAAATAAAACGCAGACGAGCCGTGATGGGGGACTGTGGCACAGTCTGAGGCCCTGTTGTGTCTTTCCTCCGGAAAGTCATCATTCTGTTTCTCCACGAATATGATATTATCCAAATTCAGCGCTGCTTCTGTGTGAGGCTTCTGAAGGAAACTCACTTGAAGGGATGGAAGGCGTTTTTCCCACACTAACCCAACCTCACAGCAGACTTCACAGTGCCGGGTTCCCAAGTGCTGAGACAGGAGTTTGCTTTGTGCATGGAAACTTCGTCACTGTGCCACCTCTGTCCTGTGTATACAATATATTACCAAGAGGATGAAATTTTGACTTTAAGGACCACGTTGTTTCTGCCCCGTTTAAGAAGCTCAAAGAGAGCAAAGGTATTTCCTAAGCTTTCAGACTAAGTATGGAAGAAGATTCTTTTGGAGCTAGAGGATAGTTATTTTTCTAAGATTTAATTTATATTTATTTTATGTGTATGCATATTTTCCTACATCTATATAAGGGTACCCATGTGTGTAGTGTTCATAGAGTCCACAGGAGGGTGTCAGATGCCCTGGAACAGGAGTTATAGACAGTTGTGAGCTGTCATGTGGGTGCTGGGACTGAACCCAAATCCTCTGAAAGTGCTCTTAACCTCTGAACCATCTCTCCATCCCCAACAGCTCAAATATTTAAGAGAAAAAAATCACAGTACGGCTCATGTGTAGAGATAAGTTCTTGCTAATCTACATCTTCTTCTATGGTGAAGTCACAACAATGTCTTGAGGGACCTTGATGACCATTTAGGACTTAATCTTCAAGGAAATCTTCCACTTTCCATAGCACTGTCTCTTTACCTGGCTCCTGTAAGGGTTTGTGTGCTGTTATCTGTCAGCACCACCATAATGGAAGGTACAAAGCTGGGCCACAGACTGAAGCAGGCAGACAGATGGTCACACAGAGGTAAAAACAGAGTGGTCCAAGTGCTGACCAGCGAGCGACCAGGGCCCATTGCCCTCTGGGGCCCACTGTCAAAGCATGCCTATGAGTTCTTAAACTCCTTTGAGATGTGTGTGGTGGGTTTTGGTCAATCCATCATAAGAGCTGACAGAATTGGTGATGGGAGGGCCAAAGGGAGTTAAAACAGTTTTCTTGACTACATGGAAACTTGTGTTGGTTGTGTTTCCCTTGGGCTCTGTGGCCAAGAAGCCCTGGGGAGCCTTACTCACCCAGACACTTGGGTAACGAGCGATCCCACAAGCCATTCGCCGTGCAGGTCAAGGCAGAAGATCCCAGCAGGTAGAATCCTTTCTTGCAGTGATACATCACACTCATTCCATACTTGAAACTCTCTGGAAAGTTTTGCTGCCCATGGCGAACAGCGTTTTCCACAAAGCCTGGATCTGAACAGTTCACCACTAGAAATCAGAATATTTCATATATTACTTATACATGCATTATAAATTCTTTTCTTTAGAAAGAAGTTATGTCATTTGCAAGAAAATGGACCCAAATGGAGATGATCACATTGAGCTGAATTAATCCCATCTCAGAAAGGCAAATGTCACGTTTTTCTCTCCTTTGCAGATCCTGGTTTTGATATAGATACGTAAAATCATGTACATATATGTGACATGAAAGTTCATGTGAAACTGTCTAGAGGAAAAGACGGGTGAAATACACAATGAAAAATTAAAAATCAGCTACAGATTACAAAATGAAATAAGCAAAGCAAAAAATAAAATAAAATAAAATAAATTGAATTCATTTTAGAAAGTTTACAAAAGAGAATTGATCTGAGAGACTTCCCACGAACTCCGCCTTCCTGATGAAATCTCCTGACTGCTGTCAACCACTGTGCTATGAAAATATATTCGAAAAGTGGCGAGACAGAACTGCCCAAAGCTAGTTTAAATATTTTCACTCAAATGCAGTGTTTTATTTCTGAGGCATTCTTCAGCCACACCCCCTACGTATATTAACGTGTGCCCCTAAAGGAATCCCGCTGTCAACGCACAGCGAGTGCGGCTGATGGTGGCAGTTCTTCCAACAATGATTCACGGAAACTAAGTCAGGCCACTTCTAATGGGAACCTTCCCCCTTAGGAGGAGCGGGGAAGGCAGTCTCCGAGGTGCAGGATATGCTCTGCTTATGCTGAATGGGTTCCATTAGCCAGAAGGCTGGTGGGTGTCTTGAGAGGAATTAACAGCATGCCTCCTCAGGTACAGAATAGAAAGTGGACCGACTGCCTTGTATGTCCCCTCCAGGCCAGTGACCATGACAGCTGTCATGAAGCACCCTCTCCAGATGTTTCTGACTCAGAAAAGTGTGCTCAGAATTCTTTGTGGCCACTGGTGGGCTCTGGAAGTTGAAGGCAGTTCCCTTTCCACTGCGTGCATTTGATTCTTCTGGGGGAGGGGCTTGTCAGGCAGGAGTGCGGGTTCACAAGTCCCTTCCACTGTTGTGCAGTAATGCTCCTTGAATTTTATAGATTGCTTAAGTTTATAGAAGAAAGCTCTGAGTTTCTTTGAGTGAAAAAAAAATGCTTATGGAACCCAGGAGGCCACTTTTAAAGCCCTGCAGTGGACTGCACCTATAATCAAATTATAACCCAAACTCTAAAACAGCAGAGATGACCTGGCTGGAGGCAATCTAATAAACCTGAAAGATAGCTGCATGACCTGGACCAGATCGCTGCATCCCAGGCTAGTGTTTGGATGGCAAATCCAGGCCAGGAAGTAGAAATGGTCCTTGGAACAGAACTGCCCCTTAGTATGTCCCATGCTATCACAGGAGAGTCTGTGTGATCTGTGTTGTGTGGGGAACTCCCACAGTGAGCCCTGAGCTGACGTGGGGCAACCTGGGGACTCTGGGCTCTGCAGGGCACTTTCTCAATATGCCCTGTGTTGACATATGACAGTGTAGGGACCTTGTGCTACAGAGGAACTCCCTCAGTGAGCCCTGAACTGACATTGGTGCTATGAGGACCTGTGTTCTGCAGGGCACCCCCTCTCTGGTGCCCCTGTGGTGATACGGCGTCTAGCAATTCCATGATCTACAGACACCCACACAGTGTGCCATGCGGGGACAGAAGTGTTCCAAGGACCCTGTGTTCTGCAGGGCACCCCCTCTCTGGTGCCCCTGTGGTGATACCACGTCTAGCAATTCCATGATCTACAGACACTCGTACAGTGTGCCATGTGGGGACAGAAGTGTTCCAAGGACCCTGTGTTCTGCAGGGCACCCCCTCTCTGGTGCCCCTGTGGTGATACGGCGTCTAGCAATTCCATGATCTACAGACACCCACACAGTGTGCCATGCGGGGACAGAAGTGTTCCAAGGACCCTGTGTTCTGCAGGGCACCCTGCCCAAGCATGCTCTGGGGTTTAACATGTGACAGTGTAGGGACCTTGCATTCTTCAGGCATCGCATCAGTGTGCCCTGTGGCCACACAGGACAGTCTGGTGACTACTTCATGTTCGTGTACTGAGTTCATGTTGTGGTTTTATTCATGGAGATAGGTCACCCAGTGTGGGAATCAGCCTTTAACAGCCTCAGCACAAAGCACTTTCTTTGCGGACACATCTCATACCTCGACAGGTGGGCAAGGGGCTGCTCCACTGACCGTTGCTCCGACACTGGGCCCGAGAGGCACCCTGCAGCAGGTAACCTGTGTGGCAAGTGAAATTCACCAAGTCGTTCAGGTTGAACTCGCTGCCGTTGGTGAGTCCGTGGGCGGGGTTTCCAGGGTGACCACACGTGATAGCTGTAGGGAAAAGGTCAGTGTCATTGTTCATATTAAACAGGTCACCGCATCCATGTCAGGTCACTTAAAACCAATGTTAGGACTGAAGGGTTCTCTGTGACACTGGATGGCATTCCTGTTTGGAAGGACCACACCACCTTTTACGGTGGTGGGAATGAGCATACGCCTCTAAAGCCTGTTTCCTCCAGAGAACTAGCACTGTTCACCAAGTCGGACAAAATACCAAGAGACCTGATGATGCAGCACTGAAAGGTGTTGAGTCCTTCGATATTTACCAAGGGTTGGACGGTTCTCTCCTTAGAGCGTCCCTGCTGACGGCATGAAATTCTGGGGATTTGTTTGAAGCTTTGTGTTATACAGTACGGCGGCATCAACTTCATCAGCGTGTACTTAGGAAATATCATTCTCCTCTGAAACCCGCACCGTGGGATCCTGAGGGGTGTACTGAGCTCTGGTTGTGTTGGGCCACACAGCACCCACCCCCAGCAGGGCCAAGCTGAGTCTGTCCCAGGCCCTGGACAGTGGCCACACAGAGCCAGGGGTCGGTCACAGGATCCAGACTGCGGTCACACGCGGCCAGGCGGGTCTGTCACAGACCCTTTGGAAACGACCACATTATGGCTACGAAGCTGGTGTTTTCCTGCTCATTTCATTTTTCTTGCCAGTGCAGTCTTTGTCCCTGAACGCTGTACATTACAGGCCTACTGCAGACACCTGTCACTGTTCACAGCCACCTGCTTAGTTAATGGGAAAGCGAAGCTATCAGATGGACAGGGTTTGACAGAAAGTCTGCACCCAAAACAAAACATCTGCCCTACAAACCCCAGTCAGTATTTGTCTGAAGCCCTAAGTTTTGAGAATGGGCATTATGTATAATTTTATCTCTTTTGATTAAACTAAGAGATCCTTGCAAAACTGTCCTTGACAAAACAATTACCCAAGTACCAGACAACTCAGGACACTCAGAGTGTGGTCCATTTAAGGCTCTGTAGTCCCAGACCTGGTGTGTATGTCCTCCAGTAATGAGCACATGACATCAGACCTAGGCCTCCTTTAAAACGAATTGATGAGAGGATTCAAGCAAGGTAGGAGTCTGGAGAGGCATCAGGAGGAAGCAGGGAAGGAGGTGGGGAGGGAAGCCAGCATGGTGGGCCTTATGCTCTGACATGGGACAGTGAGAGGGAGGGATTATTCTGCGTGGAATCAGAAGGTGACTGCACAGCACAGGAATATGGACAGGAGCCTGCAGGGGGAGATGTTTCTCTAAACCACTCACGAACACAGACGGGCGTCTGCCCAGACCACTTGTGGTCCTGCAGGCAAATCCTCACGGAGGTACCAACGAGCCGGAATCCGGGGTTGCACTGGTAGACCACCGTGTCCCTGTAGCTGAAGCCGTCACCGCTGATGTGGCCGTTCACGATGGGGTCTGGGGAGCCACAGTGGCCCGCTGAGGACAGACAAAAACAGAGGGAAACCATTCAGGGGATGTGTCTAGGAGAGCCCACAGCATCTACAATTCACTGCCAAGTCAATATTGGGGTGAATACAGCTTAGTGGGACTCCCCCCATTGGCCTATGTGCTTTGTGCCATGTAACCCTTCCCTTTGGCCTCTGCATTTTTCCTCAACAATTGCGGGCAAGTTTTATTTCTGATATGAAATTACAGGTATTTCCCCAATCACAACTTCACTCTGTATTCCATTTTTTTCTTTCTTTTTTAAAAAAAATAATTTGCTAATTTTATTTCATCTGTATGAGTGTATCATCTGAATGTGTGTAAGTGCACCCACGTCATGCAATGCCCACAGAGGTCAGAAGAAGGTTTTGTTTTGGATCCCCTGGAACTGAAGTTACAGACGGCTGTCAGCCACCATGTGGGTGCTGGGAATCGAACCCGGGTCCTCTGCAAGAGCAGTCAGTGCTCTTAACCGCTGAGCCATCTCTCCAGCCCTGTGTTGCACTTATTTTCTTGCTGTATGGTACACGATTTATCTTGCAGCTAGCTCTATTTCTGAATAAAAGACAAGCGGGAAGATCAGCTCTCCTAACCCGCTGGCAGAGAGAAGGGGGTGTGGCTGGAGAGCCCAGCAGTCAGGAACCTCTGCAGAGGAATCAGGTTCCTTCCAGCACCTACACGGTGGTACAAACCTCCACACACAGCCCACACACACCACACACACACCCCACACACACCATACATACCCCACACACACCCCACACACACCCCCCACACACCCCACACACACCCCCTACATACACCACACACCCACACCACACCCACACACACCACACCACACCCACACCACACACCACACACGCCACACCACACACACACACACACACCCCACACATACCACATACCACATACACAAACACACCACGCACCACACAAACACACCACGCACCACACACACACACACACCCCAAAGTAGCAATCAGGTCCTCAGAGACTGCTCAGCCACCTGACTGGGATTTTGTTCTAGATAATTCCAGTGGTTTGGTATCACTTCTGGAGATTCCTGAGGACCCAGCAGGAGTTGTTGAAGAAAGTACCTCTAACAAAGCCCCAATGCCTTGGGGATCCCTCTCAATTGAGACTCTCTCTTGAACACTCTGACTCCACTGACTTTTGTTACGTGAACATATCTTGATGTGGCACATCCTTCAACTCTCATGGTCGAGGTGCCTGTGTCCTTTGGGAGGCAGGAGACGAGGTACATGAGGCCTGTGAGGGAACCTTCCCAGGACACTGTGCCTCCTACCTGGTCACCTGCTAGCTGAGGAATGGTGCTAAACACTTAAGGGAAATCCAGGAACTCCTTCAGAGAGGAGGGAGGGGAGAGAAGGGAAAGAAGGGGTAGAGGGAGAGCAAGAGGGAGGAGGGAGGGAGGGAGGAGGGAGGAGGGAGGGAGGGAAGGAGGAGGGCTCTGAAGATGGGTGACACCCTCAAATCTTTGCCCAGGAGTGCCAGCTGGGAAGACTAAATATTGCACCCCTAGCATATGCCTCCCAAGGGAAGGGAGGCACTGGGCAGAGCCAGACGCAGTGTGGCAGCCACCAGACTGTTGAGGTTTGAAGGTGTCAAGTTAACATACAGATCCAGGAAATGTGTGGGTGCACAGGCAGCCTATAGAACACAGCGGATGTCTGTGGGTTCCTGAAAACATCGGCCATACCTGGATGTGAACTGGAGAGACAGAATGGCCACCTCCTGGACACGTGCTAATCAGTGTTTCAGTAAGAGCGCCATTCACAGGAAATGATGCGTTCACATCAGCAGGCAGCTGAGGATGAAGGTGTATACAATATTGTTCAAATAGAGCTTATGAAAGGAGGCAGCTCAAATGTTCATTCTTAGAACACTGGAGAGAGAGAGAGAGAGAGAGAGAGAGAGAGAGAGAGGAGGAGGGAGGAGGGAGGGAGGAGGGAGGGAGGGAGAGAAGGAAGGAAGGAAGTGGGAAGGAAAGGAAAAGGAAGGAAGGCAACACAGAGAGACAGCAACAGCAAGAAGAAGAGATGGGAGGGCCAATCCTGTACCTTTCCAAAGAAAATACCAAGAAAAAATACGAAGTTTAAAAAGTCACAGACTGATGTGGAACACCCTTCATGTAGGTGGTAGGCGTCAAGGGTCTTTATTTTTACATCTATGTGTTTACTTTTTATTGACATTTGGATTTAGCTTAGACAACGTCTACATGTTTTCTAGAAACAATACCTGTGGAATCAAAATGCAGAATTCCCGAGACAAGTTAGTCAGAAACTGGAGTGTTCAGCATTTGGTTTAACCCCTCACGTTAATCATGCTTAGGAATCTCCGAGATGGCCAGAATTTGGAACCTGGCAGAGCTGATTTTTTTCCTAAGCTCAAACCTTGGCAGCAGTTGATGAGACGCAAAGACTTAAAGTTTCAGAAGTGTCATTAGCAAAACTCAGCAGGGAGCTGGAAAGGCCTCTTCCCTTGATTGGCTGAGTATTCTCAGCAAGCTGCACACGTGAGCAAGCACTCAGGAGAACAGGTGTCCAAGGCTCTCAGATAGCTCAGTTTAGTCTGAAGTCTGTGGGTACAGCAGGAGTTACAGGCAGTTGTTAGCTACCATGTGGGTTCTGGGATTTGAACCGAGGTCTTCTACAAGAACAGTGTTCTTACATATTTTAAAAATTCAAGAACTCTTCTTACAAAATCAAAGTCAGCATTTACAGGCTCTGGCCGGCTTCCAGGATGCCCCTCTGGGTCCCAACCCCAGGAGAAAACACAAAGCATTACTGTTTTTTTCATGCATTACAGCATCTAATGCATCCAGTTGCAGTGTACAAAACTGTACAAACGATGTGGCAGCCAGCATCGATCGCCTCCTTCCGAATCTACCGCCAGCTGGGGGCAAGCAAGCTTCTAGGCACACCTTGGAGGGATTACCCAGACCAGGTTAACTGAGGGTGGGTAGTGCCATCCCGTGAGCTGGGGTCCTGGACTGAATGAAAAGGAGGAAGGAAGCTGAGCATCAGCACTGACCTCCCCTAGCGTCCTGAATGTGGGTACAGGGAGCCGCTGCCTCCTCAACTCCTGTTGCTCTGTCTCCCCACACCCATGATCAGGGTTATACTACCGACACTTGTGCTGCCCTGCCATTTTAGTATAAGTTCCGAGAACTGTTATGAAGGATCAAAGATGCCCTGCGACACTTGTGCTGCCCTGCCATTTTAGTATAAGTTCCGAGAACTGTTATGAATTTAAGATGCCCTGTTTGTTTATCCTAGGAAAGTAAATGTCCTGAAAACTGAGCCTAGTGGACCTGTTTCCCTCGGCCCTGCGGTGCACACCTGCTGAGAATTCTCCCTGGTTTTTCTGCAACAAGCTTCCAAGAAGCCGTCTGTTAACAAGGGATGCTCCCCGGTTTCTGCCCCATTTCACAGCACTTGTTTTTGATGCTTCAACAGGTCACAATGTTTAAACAAAGGTGGATTAAAATGAACTCTCAGGTTAAAACAGCAAGGTCAGAAATGTTAGGGATAATAAAAGTGATTGCATCTGGATAGGAAAGCCATGTTGACCAGATAAGAGAAAAACAGGTTCTGACAAGCAACCATGGGGGTTGAGAAGTGGTTCCGACAGCACCTTGCTCTCGTACAGGACCTGAGGGAGGTTGAGAGAGGTTCTGACATCCAAAATGCATGGCTCACAACCACCTGCAACTCCAGGTCTAGGGATCTAATGCCCAAGTCTAGACTCCATATGCATAAACCCACAGACATACACATCTACACGTATTTTATTTTTATGTTTTAAAATTTTATTTATTATTTTCATTTTTATGTGTATGAGTGTTATGCCTGCATGTAGGTAAGTATGCCCGTGTCGTGCAATGCCCACGGAGGCTGTCGGATTCCCTGGAACTGGAGTTACAGGCAGTTGTTAGCTACCATGTGGGTTCTGGGAGCAACTGAGCTACATCCCCAGGCCCCGTGACTTTTTTAAAATGTAAAGACTTTATTATTATTTGTGTGTGTGTGTGTGTGTAATGCTTCCATGTATGTAAGTGCACCCATGTCATGCAATCCCCACAGAGGACAGAAGAGGGCGTCAAATTCACCAGGAACTGGAATTACAGATGGTTGTTGGCTGCCATGTGCTATGAATCAAACCCAGGGGCTCTGCAAAAGCAGCCAGTGCTTTTAATGGCCGAGCCAATTCTTCAGCCCCGAAAGTCCTCCTCTTTTATCAATGCACAGTGAATAGAATAGAACTGAAAACATTGAGGAACTGCTTGAGGAGAGGGAACCAGGGAACAAGGACCAAAATAATGCCAAAGCCCCATTCCTTTGGCTTTTCCAATCACCTAGTCTATGAGCTATTCTCATTGCTGACTTTCTGCCACAGCACACTTCTTTACTGATTCTCCCTTTGAGTTGTTGTTGATGATGGTGGTGATGGTGATGGTGATGATGGTTTTTTTTTTTTTTTGACAGAGTCTCCCTGTAGCCCCAGCTGGCCTGGAAATCTATATAGACCAGGCTGGCTTCTATCTTACAAAGATCCACCTGCCTCTGCCTCCTGAGTGCTGGGATTAAAGGTATGTGCCACCACACCTGGCTCTAAATTTGTTTTGTCTGGATATTTTGTCACAGTAATGAGAAAAGTGGCCAATGGAAATGTCTTTTAATAAGAGGTCGACCTATTCCTGGATGGGTGGCACCCCTACCTGATCATCCCTTAGGCAGGTTGTTAGATATGCAGTAACCACAGAAAGCTACAGCTATGCCTTGGAAGCTGTGTCTGTCCAACAGTCGATGCCCCTTTGGGATTAAACATCCTTGAAGCTGTAGGTGGATGTTTCCACTATAACAGAAACTAAGCCACCAGGGCCTTTACCACGGTAACGAAGGGTGTGCATCCTCCAAAAACCCGATGTCATTGTAACAACTGCACAACTGCATTGTGATTTTAACAAC